GTTGTACATAGGGTCGCTATGAGTCGCAAGCGACTTGACAGCACGTAACAACAACAACCTAAGTCTTACTGTCGAAGTGCTGCCACTGCATTTCTAATATTGTTTCCACATCGCAGTATTACTTCCAAGGAGGGGGAAAGGGTTTTTTTCTCATTATATCTTGTGAGAGAATGAGAGTGAAGCTGGCAAATAAATAATCGTGAACCAATTACTCTTGAGTCAGTTCTGGCTCATTGCAACCCCAACCCCATGAAACTCCTTGTAGAGCTTCCCAGGTGTGACCTTTCGGAAGAAGATCACGCCTTTCATAACACTGATGGTTGAGTCGGAATCACCAACCTCCTGTCAAATGGTGTAGTGCTTAACCATTTTTGCCACCCAGGGTCCTTTAAAGTAGGCAGTAACACCATCGTGTTGTTGTGAAAATAGATTTGATCAGGTTGAACCTCTTGAAAAGTCTTCAGGATCTAGTAGATCTGCTCTTAATGAGCTTGGGCCACTGTCTGAGGTGTAAGGATGTTCTGGCAGCAGCACTTAAGGATGCTGTTCATATGTGGTGAGACAGAGGTGAATCGTGCTCTGAAACGCTCCCTGTTTGTTTGCCTGTAGGAGTAAATTTCAAATTAATCAGGTAATGGAGCCTCATAACATTTTCTTATTTCAGGGAGAACCTGGCCATTTTGCAGTGGCTGTCTTCTCTATATGTGTGTGTGATATTTATTCACATTTGCACTAAAATATCAGTTGAAATTAAGGGGGGAAATGACATTGTTAAAAAATTATTTATGATCTGTTAAAGGAATACCAGGTTGCTTAATGTGAATTAGCTCATACACAGTTGATAAACAGGGCAATTATGTCAGCATAATTCAGAAGCTTTGTGATTAGTTTAGGATTTTTCCAGCATGTTAGTGTTTTTAAAAGTTTAAGGACTCTGCACAAGTAAAGAGAAAGAAAAACCTTGATATTATGAATAATTTAAGAAAAATAGAAATGATACAGAAAAATGACCTTGAGTGTAAGAAATTACTTCAACCTGATAATGACTAGGATACTTCTTTCTGTATTTAAGAGAAGTGATTGGCAAAGCCTCTACAGTGTATTTTTAATTTTGATTAAAAACCTGGTTTTATTTCAATATAATACGTCATCAAGAACTTACCTCTCAAAAGGAGCATGTTTTTTATTTCAATATAATATGTCATCAAGAACTTACCTCTCAAAAGGAGCATGTTTTCTAGGGTATGTGCTTACATAATCTGACTGTGAACTCAGGTGCAAATGCCAGAGGATATTTAAGCATATGTGCCTTTTTGTTAGACTCGTTTTGCTCGTTTGTGCTTTGCTTACAAAATTCCAGAGTAACTTTTGAATGATCTGTCCAACCCGTTTTCTTTAAACTTTGTTTTCAATAGTGTGCTGCTCTATTGAGTATAAGACTTTTCAGGAATAATATAATAATACTCCATGAATCAACATGCAGATTTCATTATACTGATTTACTGACTCTAAATAAGAACCAAAAAATAAAACCAGGTAGATTTGGTACATATGTTTAAGACAGATATGCAGAAAACATGATATATCAGTTACTGCATGTATACATGTTTGTTTATCCTACAGGAATTATTTGCTTCATGTATTATTTCATCTACATTAGATCTCACTGCATAGTATACCTTAAAAATCACAGGAATGATTGGTTAAAATTCCATTTACTTGATGGAATGTTAAAAGTTTGACCTAACCAAAGTGCAGCCTGATGTAGAAGGGAAAAGATGTCAGTTGTTAAGAAGTGTACAGGAGACACTGAGGATTTGAAATGTATTGAACATTCATTTATATAGTGCTTATTTGCTGAGCACTTACAGTTGCAATACACTTTTCTGATCACAAAGGTATTGTAATAAATACTTTCTGCCACCTTGGCCCTTCCATTCTTGTGGGAGAAGAAGATAGATAGATATATAGATATATATCTATCTATCTATATATATAGATAGATAGATAGATAGATATATAATATATATAAAATGTGTGATTTGTAATTGGTGATAAGTGCTATAAAAAAAATAATGGAAGTAGTGATATGAGAGTTTAGAGGTAGAATGCAGTTTTAAAAAATGTGGCCAGGGAATGTCTCCTTCAAAAATAAAAGCCCTGAGAAAGGTGAGAGAAAACTCCTCTGGCTGTGGATCCAGCAGCTGCAGAGACTCTGTAGTAGAGTACGTGCCTGGAATATTTTGAAATGACAGGCCTGTGGCTAAGCCGTGAGCAAGCTGCAGAGGGTAGTAGATGAGAGCAAAGACAAGGCCATTGTCCAAATTCTTTTAGGTCCTTGCTGAGTACTTTGACTTTTACTCTGAGCAAAATACGTAGTGACTTCATTTTCAGACAACAAATTAATTACCTTTCTAATTTATATTTTTGCCAGAGAGCCACTAATCATCAAATCTTTTGTCAGTAGCTTGAATCTTAAATGCAGGGGTTCTTCTTGTTTGGGAGAAATAAAATTTCTATTTTATTCACCTGCTTCCTAATGAAAGATACATGAAAGACTATAGCTGTATTCCTAAAATTGTACAGTCTTTAGATTATATGGATTATAAAATAATGCACAATGTTTTGAAGTATTCCTAAAATTGTACAGTCTTTAGATTATATGGATTATAAAATAATGCACAATGTTTTGAAGTAGACTTGTTTATCCTGCATGTTTTATGTTGCTATAATAATCCTATAATAGCTTTTTTTTACATTGCCTATTGTGTATAATGTGAATGATTATTTTAATTGTGTTGGCAAATTGCATCATGCTGTGCTTTGCATTAAGGGCTAATCATTATTGTGTTGTGCATGTATCTTATACTTGTTTGTGCATATGATGGTAAGTGTATTTTGTAGATGTCATTTCTTAGTTATGAAAATCCCATTTCATGAGTGGTTTGATGCAGCTAAAATTCTGCTATGTATTCTTTTGTTTTGAATAGCATCTTCTAAAGTATTAAAGAACATGTGTGAAAATTTCTACAAGTATTCAAAGCCCAAGAAAATTCGAGTCTGTGTTGGGACCTGGAATGTGAATGGTGGAAAGCAGTTTCGCAGCATTGCTTTTAAGAATCAGACCCTCACCGACTGGCTGCTGGATGCACCCAAGCTAGCTGGCATCCAGGAATTTCAAGGTCTGCATTTTAGAATATGGATGTAATTAATTAACTCTTTCCTTCCTTATTTATTGAGCTAGAACACAAGAGTATCAGACCTCAGTGGGCATTAATTTATAAAAGACACTTGCATTTATAACTTGGAACCCAGTATTTTTATACATCCATTCTATTATACTCTCACCTCATCATTTTCTTTTTATACCTTATTTATTTTTAGGGTCTCTGTGAGTCATATTTGATGGCACCTAATAGCAACAGCAGTAAGACAGAGAAGGAGTTTTGGTGGCCTGGTGGGTGGAGTTGCACTGCCAACCCAAAGGCATGTAGTTTGGATCTACCAGCTGCTCCACAGCAATGCGTTGAGATTTGAGTTGTATAGGACAGAATAGGGGGCTTTGGTGACATAATCTGTACGGAGTTGTACAGCAAATGCAAAAATGTTGCCTCTTTGGTGGTTTTCCACCAGTGACTCTGGGGAGAACGATGGACAGTCTCCTTTCATGCACTTTACACTCTGCTAACTGTGGAGAGTCAACAATGAGTCCATTCCAACTTAAAGTTGTCATAGACATGATGATAATAATAAAATCATAGCGAATACCGCAATTTTAAGTACTTTATATGAATTAATTTCTTAAATCAGCTGTATTACATATTTCATAGAAACTGAGACTCCAAAAGGGAAATCAGCTTCCAAGGTCATGCTGATAAAGGCCAAGGTCGTGCTGGTATAGGCCAAGCCAGGGTTTGAACTCAGGCAGTTTTGTTCCAGAGTCTGTGCTACATTTTGTCATATGTACGAAGCTAGAGAAGTTGCTTTGCTACTCTAAAGTTTCAGTTTCTAATCTTATAAAATAAAGGCAAAATAGTGTCTTGTAAGATGTTTAATAATTTAATGAGATAATGTATATATGTGCCTTGTACATAATGTTGTTGTGTGCCACCAAATCAGAACCAACCTATAGTTGATCCTACACTGGATTTTCCAAGGCAGTAAACTTGCACAGGAGGAGAATGCCCATCCTTCTTCCATTAGAAGCTGATAGTGGATTCAAACTGTGTGCCTTTGAAATTATAGCACTGCTTCTTATCACTAGGCCACCACAGCTCCCTTTACACATAATAGTAGTCAGTAAAGAGTTGCAATGTTTACTACTATTAGTTCATGTATTATAGACTTTTTGGCTATTTGTCTTTATTTCTGATCATTTGTGATACCCAGAATATTCCTATTCTACTTATCTTAAGCAGCTTCCAAAGTCTCTTGTCAGCCATGACTGTTAACAACTGGAACCATGATCTTTTTTTTAAACTCCGGACCTCTTCTAGTTTTCTTAGACTTTCTACACCCTGGAAGTAACAAAAAGATCAACCCTGTGATTTTCAAATTTGAATGTGGAAAATCTCTCTCATTCCAATTTGAGATGTTTTTCAGCCACTTCACTCTCTTAATTTTTATCAACATCATCCTTGAAAAGTGGCTTGTTTCTTAGATTCCCTTGATACAAACTTTAGCAAGAATTCTTTCAAAATTATTATTAATAGGACTTAGGAACCTTGAAGAATAAAAATCTTTAAATAAGACATCTGCATAAAAATTTAAAATTCTTTTGTTCCACTCATAGGTTTTTATTTTCAACAGGAATTTGATTGAACTTAAGTGAATTTTACATGGAACATGAATGCATTTTTATGAGATCCAGTGTTGATCCTTGTGTTGAGAAGGTTTCCTTTTGGCTAAGTCTATATTTAAAAAATCTTTCTTGGATATTAATTGTAGATAAAAGAAGTAAACCAACTGATATATTTGCAATTGGTTTTGAAGAAATGGTAGAGTTGAATGCTGGAAACATTGTGAATGCAAGGTAAGCCAAGTAGGTAAAGCATGGTTAAATTTCCAGTGGAAGGTGGAGGGTAAATAATTAACCAGCTGTTAGAAAGACAGGTGGATATGATGATAAAGGTGCCTCGTAACTGGTCTTAGGACTCCTTTGTTTACTGTCATCTCAGAGATTTTTCCTTTTAAAATAGCACTGTATATTCAATATATATCATGCTAGAAACCAAAACAGACGTTAGAACAGTGAATGCATTTAAAAGTAACATAGTGATATAAGAGATATTTTTTGGAGAAGAACTATTTCTAGTTCTTCAATAAAAAATTGGTGATTTAGGTGACATTGTTTTGCAAATCTCTAAGACAGCGGAACTCTTCTTTTTACTGTGGTGTGAATGAAAATTTACAAAGCTTTTTTTTTTAATTCAACCATTCATATACATGCTGGTTTTCTTTTTTGGGTTGTTTTTTTTTTTTCAATTTATTAGTGTGTGTGTGTGTGCGTGCGCGCGTGCCATCAAATCAGATCTGACTGATAACCGGAAGAGATTGTCTCTCTTCTTCCAGCAGAGCATCTGGTGGGTTTGAACTGCATACCTCTGGGATTGCAGTGCAGCGTCCTGCGAGTAGGCCATCAGAGCTCCCATATACATGCTGTTTTATAAAATAAATTACAGTACTCACAATGTTACCTTACCCTTCCTACGCCTTCCTGCAAGTCTTGTTTCTATTGATTTGTCTATCCTCTTCCTTCTTACCTTTTGAGCTTTATTCTTGAGCACCCTGGTGATTGTATATGTTTATTCTAAGGAGTGAGTGCTTCTCGATGTTACGATGTTATCCACCTCATGGTGTTTTGTGCCAGTGAGTCCACTATAGCTCAGAGCGACCCTCTGAACAACAGATCTGCACCTTGCCCTTCCTCATGGTCTCCAACACGTTTGAGTTCATTGTTACTGTCACTGTAGTAATCCATCTTGTTGAGGGTCTCTCCCTCTTTCTCTGACCCTCCAGCTTTCCCAGCGTGATGGTTTTTTCCTAAGGACTAGCCCCTCCTTGCAACATGCCCAAGTTTCACCATCCGTGCCTCTGAGGAGCAGCATGGTTGCTCCAACATAAACTTGTTTGTCCTTTAGCCAGCCAGGTCTGTCTATTGTTTGGCTGATAATTTAACCACAGGGCTAAGTTTTGTTCTGGGTTCAAAGGGTAATCGTCTTGGAGAGGCCAGTAGACCCTTATCAGACCAGTAAGGACAAATGAAATTTTATTTGTACATTTGCATCAGTTTGATACAACACATAGTTTTAGTTGACTAAGTATATGAAGAAACTCATATAAACATGTAACTGGAAGAATTTTTATAATTTGTTCAAATAATTTCATCTTATATGCTATACTAAAATTCAGCAAGTAATTTTTTAAAGATTAATTGTAATGTGGAATCTGAAACCATCAATAAACTTTTTGTACTATATTAAAATATATTACTCCATCTTTTACCCTTGTGTGATTTTGTAACATCATATATTAATTTGAAAAATATGAGTTCTTCTGGGTTATATGGCTGTTCCAAATTTTGGCATATTCATTAATGGAATCACTGATCTCAACCGAAAATTCCTTAGGTGTTGAGATGCAATCAAGATCATAATGATAGATAAAAATTTTCCAGAGTTCTAATTTTTGTTTGAAAACTCAAGTTTTATCATTGCAAATTAATACCGTCAGTTGTTGCCCTTGACATGACACCCTTGGTTGGAAAAAATATTTACCCAATACCAAACTGAATAGCCATGGTTGGTTTGTCAGTTCTTTCAAGTAAAATTTTCTTCCATTAAAAAACTGGCAGTTCAGCTCCCAGTGCAAACACCAGGTACTTTACATTGAGAAAACAATTGTGCTCAGCATGCAATAAAAGTTCTTAATACACATTTCCCACTCTCTAATTAACTACATGACTCGGGGTGTGAATTGATAATGGTAACAATGCTACTGCTTCAAGTGCATTCATAAGTGGAATTGCATTTTTACTTTAACTATAAATGTATGATGTGGAAATGCTTGGATTCATGCTAAGGATCACCACTCTTGCACAGTGCTTTTAGTGCACCAGCTGTGCAAATGCCAGTGAACAGTGTGAAGGATGCAGGCAGTGACTTCGTATTACTGTAAAAATAGTGTAACTTCATGGGCTTCAAGAGCCCCTTTCGGAAGTTTGAGAATTTCTCTGAAGCTGATGATAAATACAGTTTAATAAATTGATACTTCAAAGCTTTGGTATTTTAACACGAAGTATGCCAACTTTTAAGTTGGCATAGTTGCCCAACTTTTATGATGTTTTAAGATTTTCATAATTGGGCCAAAATAGTATATACAGTCATCAGTCTTTTTCCTTACCTAAATGAGTAACAGTTCATATCAGGGAAGTAGAAAAGAAATCTGACTTCATCCACTTTGCTATTTTGAGGGGTTTTCCCCTATAAAAATTCATATTCAGATAAGCATTGCATAGTCTTAGAGTTTTGGGGGATTTTTTGGTTGTGTTTTTTTTTAAAAAATTTTATTATTTGTGTGTGTGTGTGTGTGTGTGTGTGTGTGTACTGTCAAAATGGATCTGAGTGGTACAGGAGGAGATTACCCCTCCTTCTCTAGCAGAGCGTCTGGTGGATTTGAACCACATACCTCTCGAATTACAGTGCAGCTTCTTGCCACTAGGCCACCAGAGCTCCCTAGTCTTAGAGTTTATAATATTAATTGCCCAATTATTTTTCTAAAGTGGAATTTGGTCAGATTATTTTTAATAAAGTGATAATTATCCATTCTTATATTTAGTTTCTACTAGTAGTTGTTCTAGGTACTGAGGATACATCAGTGAGTGAAACATGTAAAACTTCTTGTCTTGGGCTTTATATTCTAATAGGAAGAGACAGACAACAACAATGCTATAAAAAATAAATTATGTAGCAGGTTATATAGATGTGGAGAAGTGTTTGCAATTAGGGATCAGTCCTTGGAGAAGGACATACCATGCTCAAAAGGGTGGAGGGACAGCACAGGAGAGGAAGACCCCAGATGAGATGGATTGATACAGTATTGGGGCACTAGGCGTTGGTTTGTTGGATTCATTGAGACTGGCTCAGGACAGGACAGGCTTCAGAGCAGCTATACAGGCAACTTGACGGCACATAACAACAACACAGCAAGTCAGGGTAAGATTTCTTGAGTTAATTTCTTGAGGAGTGACCTGAAGGAAAAGAAGAATGTTGTCATTCTCATTTCTGAGTCAAAGCAGTAGGATTGTAGTAGGTACATAGTGAGTCCATGTTCTGAAGGTGCATTGTAAGTATGGTGGCCCAGTGTAGGATAGTGTGAGATTTAATCTAGCTTTGCCTCTTATCCAGGTATATGATTCTGAACAATAAGAATAATCTCATCTGTAAATCAGGAATCAGGATAATCTAAAAGTTGTTGCTATTACAATTAAACATGTTAGGATGACATATCAATCTTTCTAACATGCAGTATTCATTGTTGTTGTTGTTGTTGTTGTTTGGTGCCGTCGAGTTGTAGGCGACTCATAGTGACCCTATGAACGAAAGGCCTGAGAATTGTTCATAGGGTTTCCAGAGGCAAGCCATTTTGGAAGAGGATGCCATTCCTGCTTCCAGGCTTGTTCTAGTCGGGAAGCTCCAGCAAGCACTGTCCACCATGGGAGACCATTACCACATTTGGCACATAAGTGGCAATAGTCCTTAAACATTATTTTTTTTCCATTAATTAATTTAAATTTTATTTAAATGTGTATAGCATATAATTTTTTGAGTTTATGAAGTTAAATGAAAAATTTTATTCTTTGTTTCAATTTAAAGATCGTTGGATACAAACTCTGAAGTTACGGATTTTTAAAATATCAGATATTCAACCTTATTTGAACTGTTGTTGTTTTTTTTTTTTTTTCAAAATAATTGAATAATTAGTAAGACAAAGTTAAGAATTCACACTTATTATAAATTTTAGTGGAATTATGAAATGACAAAATTAACATTTCTAATGCATCATGAAATAAAAGCCCTTGCACTGTATAAAGAACAAAAATTCCTGGAGTAGAGCCTGAGGGCTGCTCCTTCATGACAAACATGGTGAAACCTTATCTTACATATTTGAATATGTTGTCAGGAGGGCTTAGGACTTGGAAGAAGACATCATTCATAAAAGGTAGAGGGTCAATAAAAGAGAAGACAGTTCTCAGCCAGATGAGTTGGCACAGCGAGTGAAATAATAGATTTGAGCATATGCATGTCATGACAAAGGTGCGGGATAGGACAGAGTGCCTTTCTAACGTTCATATGGTCACTATAATTCATCATTTACTTGACAGCATCTAACAATTATAACAGTGAAACCATAGATCTAGGCCGTGGTCATCCATAGATGGATGCTAAAACCTCAGAGAGAATGTTTAATAGATAACTTTGCAAAATGGTAGATCACATTTCTACTACCTGAGCATTACAGATATTATGTGCTTTATGTTGTGATGCAATAGGAAATACACAGTACCAGTTAAGAAGTATTTTTGCTCGCCTTAAAAACAAAACAAACCCCACCCACTTGTTTTTAATCAGGCCTCAATATCAAACTCTTGTTGTGTTCCATAGAGTCAGAACGACCCATCGCTAAACCTCCAGCAGGTTTTCAGAGGCAGTTAATCGCTCGGGTGGAGATTGCCCATCCTTCTCCCACAGAGCAGCTGGTGGCCTCAAACCTCACGACTTCGGGATTGCAGTGCAGCTTCTTGCCACTAGACCACTAGAGCTCAATATCAGACAGTGTAGGAGAGGAAGACACCAGATGAGATGGATTGATACAGTGACTGGGGCAATGGAGGTTGGTGTATCAGAATTAGTGAGACCAGCTCAGGACAGGGAAGGGTTCAGAGCTGCTATACATAGGGTGACTATGCATCGCAGGCAACTCAACCAATAACATTCTATGACAGGTTTGGAAGTAGGAGTGGCATCCATTTTCTAAACAACTTGCCTCTGGAAACTCTCTGAACTTTGATAAATGGTGATAGCCTTTTGTTCATAGGGTTGCTATGAGTTGTGCTCGACTCAAACACAATCAACAGCAATATTAAACTACCACTTTCTAAGAAACCAAGATAGAGGAAGAAGTTAAGATACAATGATGGTCATATCCAGACTATCGAACTGGGAACATGTGTTCCCTTTTAAAAACCAAGAATACCAAAAAGATGTTCACCTGTATTTTATTGACTGCAAAACTAGAAGTATGCGATTCATAACAAACAGTGGATAACCTTGTTGTCTGGAGCCATCAAGTTGAGTATGACTCATAGTGACCCTGTGTACAACCGATCTGAACACTCCTATCCTGTGAAATCCTCACAATCTGATTCACTCAAGCCTGTTGCTTCAGTCACCATGTCAACCCATCTGGTTGAAGGTCTTCCTCTCTTTTGCCACTCCTCCACCTTTACACACATGATATCCCTCTCCAAGGAATAACCTCTCCTTGCAGCATGCCTAAAGTGTGTGATAAAGCTTTATTATCTTTGCCTCCAAGGAGCACTCTGGCGCCATCTTCTCCAAGGTATAATTGTTCTTTTGGCAGTCAGTAGGATCTTCAGCACTCTTCACCAACACCGCAGCTCAAAAGCATCAATTCTTCATCCTTAGTCACTCTCCAGCTTTCAGATGCGTAGCAAGTGACTGAAAAGACCATGGCCTGAATCAGGTGCACTATCCTCAAACTGACATCTTTACTCTGTAATAATTTGGAGAGGTCCATGGGTGCAGACTTTCTCAGTACGTTATGTTCCCTGGCCTCCTGACTCCTGGTACCAAGAGTACTGATTGTGAATTCAAGTAGGATGAAGCCATGACAGTCTCAGTCCTTTCTCCATTCGTCATGATGATGCCTATTGGTCCAGTGTGAGGATTTTTGATTTCTTGATCTGGAGATGCAGTCCATATTGCAAGGATAACATAGTAAAATGAGAATACCAGAACAATCATTCAGACAAAACAAGAAATACTGAAAATCATACTGAAAAGTGTGTGTCAGGGTCATATCCTTTCACTGTACTTATTCATTCTGTATGCTGAGGAAATAATCTTAGACTTTTATTAACTCCCTCTGAAAACCCAATGAAGGGTCATGTCTATGAGTCAGTTCACCTCGATGGTCCACAACAACAATAATATGCATTATGCAAATGACACAGCCTTGCTTACAGAAAATGAAGATGACTTGAGGTACTTACTGTGGAAGCGTAGAGACTATAACTTTCAATATAGATTGCACTTCAAAATAAAGAAAAAGTGGCGTCAAAATTGGACCAGTACGTAATATGATAGTAAATGGAGAAAAGATTGAAACTGTCTATTATTTCATTGTACTTGATCCAGAGTCATCGCTCATGGAAGCAGCAGTCAAGAAATCAAACAATAGATTACACTGAGCAAATTTGCTTTTTTAAGGATCTCTTTAAAGTGCTAACGAACAAGAGCAAGAATGACACTTTGAGGAGTACGGTGGTGTGACTTTCCCCTCACCTCATATGCATGTAAAAGTCAGACAGTGAATAAGGAGAAGTGTAGGAGAATTGATGCCTTTAGATTATAATGTTTGCAAACAATATTGAATGTACCCTGGGCTGGAAAAGGGAAAAATAAAAATTTCCCTTGAAAGAAGAATAGCTAGAAGTGCAAGGTGCACCCTAGAAGCAAGCATGTCTTTGTCTCTCATATTTTAGGCATATTTTCAGGAGAGTCCAGTTCTTTGAGAAAGAAGCCATCATGCTTGGTAAAGTGAGGGTTAGCAAAACAGAGGAAGATCCTCAATGAGATAGATCGACATAGTGACTGCAACAGTGAGCTAAATAAATAAAAAGCAGACAGATTGTGAGGATGGCGCAGGACTGGTCAGTGATTTGTTCTTTTGTCTTAGGGTCACTCTGAGTCAGAGCCCATTAAGTGCTATGTGATAATGATGATTGTGGTCATTTCAAAGTGAAAATGGCTGTTGTGCATAGTGAATTGTGATGTGTGCCTTAGATTTGGCTTAAATACCCAAATTTTTTTAAACTTATAAATGTTGTTTATGATGTTTAGTATAAGTTTTTAAAAGACGTTGACTGTAATTCAGGAAAACAAGACCATACTTCCATTGTCAAGGAGTCATAGATTAGATTTTCAAATGTAGTGTTTTTTAGTTAATTTTTGGAATTTTCCTTTTAAACCAAACCAAACCAAACACCAGCATCATGCATAAAGATTTTGTGACATCTGTAAATCTTAGTGGTTTTACAGAATTTGGGTATAGTAAGATAAAACTGGCTATTGTCTTAGAGAAAATACTCTGTTGTCAGTCTCTTAAAAGATTCTCTTTGTAATGTTTTCTGGTAGCACAACTAATCAGAAGCTCTGGGCTGTTGAACTCCAGAAGACAATCTCCCGAGACAACAAGTATGTGCTGCTGGCTTCTGAGCAGCTGGTGGGCGTCTGCCTCTTCGTGTTTATCAGACCACAGCATGCTCCTTTTATCAGGTCAGTAAAGAGTGCTCTGTAAAGACTTCCCGTTGTTAGCCAAAAAAACCCAAAAAAAAACCCAAGAAAAGGCCTAGAATTCTTGCTGCCTTCAAAGAACCTTTGCTTAAAGTAATGTTTTTAAATTGTGCCCTTAATTAATGAACCATAGGAACCTCAGTTTACTGTTTCACAGCAATGCTCTCATAGTTTCATATGATGTGTGGTTATATGATTATACATAATATGTGTTTTTAATTTCTTCAGGGTGTAGAATTATTGATATAGCCATCATAGACCTAGAATTCTTTGTTTTAAAGGGATGTTGCAGTTGATACTGTGAAGACTGGAATGGGAGGTGCAACTGGAAATAAGGGGGCAGTTGCAATCCGAATGCTGTTCCATACAACAAGCCTCTGCTTCGTCTGTAGCCACTTCGCTGCAGGGCAATCACAAGTTAAAGAAAGAAATGAAGATTTTGTTGAAATAGCACGGAAATTGAGTTTTCCAATGGTAAGCTCTTGCTGCTTGTTGTTGAAGGTGAAGCTTTTAAATATATTTTAATTTACCCTGAAGTCCTATCAATGTTTTTGAAAATTCTAAGGTTGTTCCTAGAAATAGCACTAACATTCACCTAAATAAATACTTCATGTGTTATTTCTATTAAAAGGGAGAAACATATCTGAAGGCAAAGAAATACTTGTAACATATTTTGAAGAAATTATTTTGTATTTAAAATCCTATCTCATGGCTTCCAGGGAAGGATGCTGTTTTCCCATGATTATGTATTCTGGTGTGGTGATTTCAACTATCGAATTGATCTTCCTAATGAAGAAGTTAAAGAGCTCATAAGACAGCAAAATTGGGATACTCTCATAGCAGGAGATCAGCTTATCAATCAAAAAAATGCTGGACAGGTACCTATATACTTGAATTGTAGGAGTAGTTCTTTTGAATTTATGGGACTTTTTTGTAATGAAACATACTTTCCATATTCATGGGGGTTTTGTTTTTACTTTTGCCTTAATCATGGTCTCTACTCTTGATAATTCTATTTATGTGGGGTTAAATAAATCAAGAATTACCACTCGTTGGGATTTGGGGTGGAAAAGGAGAGTCGATAATAGAGACAGAAAGTTTTGGTTTACTTTCTCTTTTTCTGTAATAGTGAGTTGATAATCTTAGTTTCCTTGGCCTCTGTATTTTTACTTTAAGATCTTATACTGATAATAGTTTATTTCCCTTCTTGTTTCTCCTATCAATTGACTTTTTTAAAACTTACAACTGCAAATTTTTAGAATATTGTGGGCTTGGTTGTTTTGGTTTTCCCATAAATGGACACTATTATTGGCCACTGGGTATGGTTCTTGGTAGTCATGGATTTAAATTCTAACCTTTGGACTCTACATGCCCTTCTAAAGCATCATTTCTTCATTTGAGAGTTGACCATCAGGCCAGATGATTTCCAGAAGCCCAGATAATCCTAATTGTTGATGTCGCTCACAAGTCTAGTAGAATGGCCTTATTTGTGATTTTTAATTGTTGTGTTAAACAAATGGTATGAATATGTCTCAGTTCTTTTTCTTGACTTTTGCTCTGTTCAGTTTGAAGTGTTTAGTCAGATAACATAAAAATTGCAGTGTGAAATTATCCAGCACATACATAATAGATTCTTTATAAATTTCTAGCTGAATAAAAACAAAACATTTTAACTTTTAGAATAACTTATTTTTATGTGCTTATTTTAGATTTTCAGAGGATTTTTAGAGGGAAAAATAACTTTTGCTCCTACATACAAGTATGATTTGTTTTCTGATGACTATGACACCAGTGAAAAGTGCCGCACCCCAGCATGGACAGACCGTGTCCTCTGGAGGAGGAGGAAGTGGCCTTTTGATAGATCAGGTTGGGAAATGAAATGATTCTTTATTTAAATGATTCTATGCAAATTTTGTGAGCAAGAAGGGGATAATATGAATATTAAATAAGAACAGTAAATTTCTCCTCCCACAGAAATTATCAGTAATGGGATAAATATAATTTAAATATAATACCAATATGTTTACATATTCTCAGACCTGCTTAGAATAATTTCACTCATTTTCAGCCATTTTCCTTTATAGTGGCATGATTTCTTACAAAAAGAAGGAAACTTTTTTGTGACATTTTCAATTGAATGCTAATTAATGTTTTTAGCCTGAAGGATTATGGTTGTTGCCAAATGTATTCAGCTGTCTCTGGTGACAATCGTGAGGAGTTGTGCTGACAACCCAGAGGTGAGCAGTTCAAATCCACCAGCTGCTCCAAGACTCCAAAAGAGAGAGTCTCTTCTTGAGCAAATTACAGCCTTGGAAAAACCCCTCTAAGATAATCAGCTCTGAGTCAGTTCTGACTGGGCACAGTGTTGTTATGTGCCATTTAGTCAAAGCTATCTTATAGCTGACTCTCCAGTGTGTTTTCAAAGGCACATCTCACAGGAGATTGTGCTACTCCTCCCTCCCAGCAACTGGACGATTTGAACAGCAGTGAGTACACCACTGCTAAGGAGCTCTCATGGTGTAGTTAGAGGAAATTGTGCTGCTAAGGCAAACATAGCAGCTCTCTGGTGACTGCGATCCACCAGCCACTTTGCGGGAGAGAGATAGGCAGTCTCCTCCAGTGCACTGAAGACCCGCTGAAGGGTCAGCTTAGGAATCCATTGGAACTCAACAGCATTGGGTTTGAGGTTTGTTTGTAGGTGGTTTTGGACCACTATTAACTAGTGAAAAGAAGGGGAGCTCTGGTGGCCTAGTGGCAAGGAGCTGCAACTGCAATCCCAGAGGCGCACGGTTTGAATCCACCAGATGCTCTGCCGGGGAAGGAGGGACAATCTCCTCCTGTACCAGTCAGATCTGATTTGACGATACACTCACACACAAAAATAATAAAATAAAAAAATTTTAAAAAAAAAAAACTAGTGAAAAGAAAGAGCTCCTTGGTCCACATAATTTTTGCATTCATTTGACTTTCCTTGTGCTTTGTTTTGTCCTAACTGAAGCTGAAGATTTAGATCTTCTGAATGCTAGTTTTCAAGATGAAAGCAAAATCCTCTACACCTGGACACCTGGCACTCTGCTGCACTATGGAAGGGCTGAGCTCAAGACTTCTGACCACAGGTTTTAACAATTTGCATTTTTCTAATGGTGCTTGAAATTTGTTTGTAATGCATCCTTTCTTAAACATTTCTAAAACATCTGTCTTTTTATTAATGTTTTTAGGCCTGTTGTTGCCCTTATTGATATAGACATATTTGAAGTTGAAGCTGAAGAAAGGCAAAACATTTATAAAGAAGTGATTGCAGTTCAAGGTCCACCAGATGGTACTGTGTTAGTCTCAATCAAAAGTTCCTCAACAGATAATTTTTTCGATGATGCTTTGATTGATGAACTGCTTCAGCAGTTTGCAAATTTTGGGGAAGTCATACTTATAAGGTAAGAAAAGTATTTATTATATTATATATTTTATTTATAAATAATTTCTATATTAGAAATCATTTCGGTGATTGAATAGTATTTTGAGATTAAGTATATTTTTAAGCTAGAGAAAAGTCATACCATATATATATATATTATTTAAAGAATATAGCGAAACTTATACTTGGACCAGGAGGCAGTCGTCAGAACAGAGCAAGGGAACACTGCATGGTTCAAAATTGGGAAGGGCGTATGCCAGGGATGCATCCTATCTCCATACCTTTTCAACTTATATGCAGAACAGATTATCCGGGAGGCTGGGCTCTGTGAGGAGAAATGTGGGGTCAAGATTGGTGGACGATTTATCAACAATCTGCGTTATGCGGATGACACAACCCTGCTTGCTGAAACTGAGGAGGACCTGAAGCGCCTGCTGCAGAGTGTCAAGGACTGCAGCCTACAATATGGATTGAGGCTCAATGTCAAGAAGACAAAGATTCTCACCACTGGACCAACTGGCAGCATCAGGATGGATGGTGAAGAGATTGAGATTGTACACAGCTTTAGTTTGCTTGGCTCTGTAGTCAACAGTCTTGGCACCAGCAGCCAGGAAATTAAAAGGCACATTGCCATAGGAAAGTCTGCTGTTAGGGACCTCTCCAAAGTGCTGAAGAGCAGTGGTGTCTCTCTGGAGACTAAGGTGCGTCTGATACAGGCCATGGTCTTCGCAATCACTTATTATGCATCAGAGAGTTGGACAATGACCAAGGAGGATAGAAGGAGAATTGATGCCTTTGAGCTGTGGTGCTGGAGAAGAGTATTGAGAATACCATGGACTGCTAGGAAAACAAACAGATTTGTCCTGGAGAGGGTTAAACCGGGTGGCTCCTTGGAGGCAAGGATTCTGAGGCTCCGTCTAACTTACTTTGGACATGTTGTGAGGAGAGACCGGTCCTTAGAGAGGGACATCATGCTTGGGAGGGTGGAGGGACAGCGCAGGAGAGGAAGGCCCTCTATGAGGTGGATTGATTCAGTGACTGGGATAATTGGGATGGGAGTGTCAGAGACAGTGCAATTGGCACAGGACAGAGCGGAGTTTAGGGCTGTTGTACATAGGGTCGCTATGAGTCGCAGGCAACTCGACGGCACATAACAACAACAACAACAGAGATTTAGAAACCAACTCAAAGGTAAATACTGAAATGTAGTATGCTCAGTTGAGAACAGAAATAGGTGCAAATGTACATAGTCTTTAAAGATTTCTTGTATAGAAGCAAGGCCACATAGCAAAATTGATTTTAGTTTTTTTATTTTGATTGCCATTTTATATTTTTACAAACAAAAGTGAAGTGCCTTTAACTCAAGGGCAAAAGAATAGAGGCTTGAGATCATTTTAAGTATGTTTTTATTCCCATCCAGGCGAGAAGCAGCACTGCCAGATGAATAGTTAGGAGTCATCCATCTCTGTCAGTCTTGGTTTCACTCCTTCACTTAACCATCTGCTTTGCAGAGCCAGGAACCTCTGTCCTTGTTTAAAATGTGTCTTCTTCTGAGTATACAATTTTAAGAAATGGAATTAGAGTATATTTGAATTTTACAGAAGTGATCCTGTTAAATTTCTGTGCAATTCATATGCTTATTTAGGTACATGTCTGTTATTCATGGGGTCATTGTGAATTGTAGTCAGTGGCACTAACAACACCTACGCTGTGGAAGAACAGAACAGAAAGAAAAATTAAAGACTTGCTTCCTGTTTGTAATCTAGTTGGGAAATTCAGATTATGTATTTATATATACGGCCTAATACAGATTGAAGCTCAATAGCAAGAAGACAAAGATTCTTAACCACTGGGCCAGTTGACAGCACCATGATGAGCCAATTGCCTGCACCATTATAGATGGAGAAGAGATTAAGCTTATTAACAGTTACAGCTTGCTCAGCTCCACAGTCAACACTCTTGGCACCAGCAGTCAGGAAATTCAAAGACTGATTTCACTGGGAAAATCTGCTGTCAGGGACCTCTCCAGAGTACTGAAATGAAATTATTTCAGTCTAGAGACTAAAGTGTGCCTAATGTCTCTAAAGGCCATGGTCTTTGCGATTGCTTGACTAAGGATGACAGAAGAAAAATCGAGGCCTTTTGAGTTGTGGTGCTAGAGAAGAGTCTTGAACATATACAGTGAACTGCCAAGAAAACAAATAGGTCTGTCTTGGAGAGGGTGAAACCAAGTTTCTTCCTGGAAGCTAGGATTTTGAAGCTCCATTCTCCATTCTCATACTCTGGGCATGAGGCCAAATCTAGAAATCTATCAGAAGCTGTTCATAACAATAAAGCTGTGTAAACACAATCCCCTTGGGGTCTGCTCTTCTACTATCCCCCACTTTTTTAGAAGAGTCTGTTTTTCTTGTATTGTTTTGCCACTGTTTCACACCATTGTGCAGAACAATTTCTAATTTATTTACTTTGTTTGTGTTTTCTTTGCCATTCTGTATCACCTCCACCTTTTGTGCTCGGAAGGGTGGAGGGACAGTGCCGGAGAGGAAGACCCCGAATAAGATGGATTGATACACTAACTGGGCAATGGGTGTAGGTGTACCGGAGTCATTGAGACTGGCTCAGGACAGGACAGGCTTCAGAGCTGTTGCACATAGAGTTGCAGGTGACTCGACAGCAGATGATGACAGCACCACCAATAGTAAGAAGCTGCACTGCAATCCAAAAGGCACATGGTTCGAGTCAGCCACCAGCTCTACAGAAGAAGGATGGACAGTCTTCTCCCAAGTGATTAACTGCCTGTGAAAACACACTGGAGGGTCAACTGTATGTCTATTCCAACCTGACAGCACACACAACAATATGTGTGTATATATATACTGGCTTCTCTAGATTCTTAATAGAATTAGTTCCCTGAAATGAAATGGTGTGGTTTCGGAGAGTGAGAACTGACTCTACAGAGATTCTTCTCCAAGAAATCTGGAATTCTTTAAGAAAATAAATATACAATTAGCGAAGAAACCCTATTTAGATTTCCTCCACACTCTTTACAAAGGCCTACCTACACCAAAGCCTTCAAGCCAAAAAATTTTTCAAAATCTTGAAATTTTAACAAGTGCATGGCACGATCTTCAGGTTTACAGATGACAGTAAGCTTTGCCAAGTTATGGAAATGCCAGACTATCAAGAGCATCATGTGAATTGTGTGAGTAGGCTGCAAAGTAGCAGATAAGTGCCATTATGAGAAAATCTGAGTGTCCTGCACTAGAAAGAATCCAAATTGTACTTAAAAGAAAGACTCTATTATAGAAAAAGGACCTGCTAATCTTTATAATCCAGTCTATAAAGAACTTGGTTTTCATTTGAGGCTAAAGCATTGCCCAAAATGCTTCTTATCATTAGGAAATATATTGGTAACAAAACAAGGCTTGACTTCAACATCACAGGAACCACCATAACTTCTGGTTATTGCAACTTCAGACAACCATGTTGGGGGGGGGAAAGGAGGTAATATAAATAAGCAGAGAACTGCTATAAGCAGTGAGACTAAATTATTACCTTTTAGACTAAAATAAACTGTTGGCACAGTAGTGATGTACCCAGGTGCTAATCACAGCCTTTCATGGAAGAACAATGTGATGACTGGCTTCCCTAACACTTTATATAGCCTTAAAACTAATCTGTTCTTTTTCTGTAGGAATACTGAATTGGAATCGACCCTTGCAGTGGGTTTTCCTCTTTAAAGTAAAACACTGTTGAAGAAATACTTTTTTGTGGGGGATAGTTGCATATAAAAGTTATAGTTTCTGAATTGTTTTGTGAGTGCTTTAAACAATTATTTTGTAAACTGGGAGGGGGAGGTAAAAGATCAAATTTGTTTCAACTAAAATAATTTTAGAGTTTTAAAATACTTCCTTTCAAGGGTATTTTCCATTTTAACAGTTTTACTGAGGGGAAAAAGCCCTAACAGTCTGTTGGGTTAAGCACTGGACTCCTTACTGACATGTCACCAGCTTGAACCAATCAGCCAGTTAACAGGAGAAAGATGTAATGGCCTGCTTCCATAATATTCACAGTCTTAAAGACTCAGTTAAAAGTTCTACTTTGTATTAAAGGCTCTCTCAGCATCAGATGTTTAGTGTGTTTTATTGATTGTATAGAACCATTTGACTATGTGGATCATAACAAATTATGAATAACAGTAAGAATGGGACTCCTGGAACACTTAATTGTGCTCATGCAAAACCTCCACATAGATCAAGAAGCTGTTGTCTGGGAGCTCTGGTGGCCTAGTGGCAAGAAGCTGCACTGCAATCCCAGAGGTTCATGGTTCGAATCCACCAGAGGCTCTGCTGGAGAAGGAGGAATAACCAGTCAGATCCGATTTGACGGTATACACACAAAAAGTAATAATAAAAGAAAATTAATTTTTAAATTTTTTTTTTTAAATAAGAAGCAGCTATTGTCTGAACAGGGCAAGGGAACACTACCTGGTTAAAAATCAGGAAAAATGTGTGTCTCCATTGTCTCCTTTCTCTATACCTGTTCAGTCTGTATGCTGAGCAATTAATTCTAGAACCTAGACTCTATGAAGGGAGTTCTGGTAACCTAGTGGTAAGGAATTGCACTGCCAGCTCAAAAGCATACAATTCAAATCTACCAGCTGCTCTGCAGGAAACAGATCGATGATCTCATTTTGTGCTATTTACAGCTTCTGAAAACCTACTGGAGAGTCAACCATGAGTCAGTTCTAACTTGACGGTATATACCAACAAAAAACCAGACTATAGAACAAGAATGTGGCAACAGGAGTGGAAGAAGATTCAGCAACCACCTGCATTATGCAGATGGCACAACCTTGCTTGCAGAAAGTGTAGAGAGTACTTGAAATATTTACTGAATAATGACTTGAAGTATTTATTTAAAGGTCAAAGACCTTTGATATGCCTTGAAAATTAGTTATATCTCAACATCAAGAAAACACAAACCCTTGCCACTAGATCAATAGGTAACATTGTGAAAGATGGAAAAAAGATTTAATTTGTCACTGGTTTCATTTTACTGAATCCACAATTAACATCCATGTTGATATGCTGTCAGAGACCTCTTTAAAATGCTAGTGAGCAAAAATTACAAGTTTTAAAGACTAAGGTGCACCTACCTGAGCCATGGCATTTTGAATTGCTTCCTACCATCTGAAAATTGAATAATGAAGACTAGAGAAGAATCAATGCCTTTGAATTTTGGTGTTTGAGAAGAGTACTAAATATTCCATGGGCTGTCAAAAGAACATTGGGGAAAAGGTGCTCCCAGAGTGCTCCTTAGAAGCAAGTATGATAAAATTTCATCTCACATACTTTGGACATGTTGGCAGGTGTCATTGGAAAAAGACAAGATAGAGGATCAGTAAAAGAGAGAAAGATTCTCAAAGAGATAGATTGACACAGTGACTTCAGCAGTGATCTTGAGCATTATGGAGAACATAAGGACAGGCAGGGCAGGGGAGTTTCAGATCTGTTGTTCATAGGGATGCTGTGTTGTTAGGTGCTGTCAGGTTGACTATGGCTCATAGCCCAATGAACAGCAGATCTGCACTTTGTCCTGCACCACAGTCACAATCAGCTGTATGCTTGAGTCTAAGGTCCTGCTATCTGAATTGCTTCTCACTAACCTGCATTATTCAGGTGATACAACCTTGATTGCTAAAGTGTAGAAGACTTGAAACAATGGCTGCAGATCAAAGACTACATAACAGCCTTCAATATGGATTACATCTCAACATCAAGAAAACAAAAATTCTAACACTAGACCAATAGCAACATCATGACAGATGAAGAGAAATTGAAATTGGCAATGATTGCCTTTTCTTGGATCTGCAATCAATACTCATGGATCAAGTAGACTGTATGAAGAAGGTTGCTATGAGTCATACTCATCTTGACAGCACATAACAAGAGGCAGAATTACTTTGACAACAGTAGGTTTTAGTCTAGAGCTACCTGCTAACGAATCTATAAATCTTCTTTTACTGATATAAGCAGCTCCCTGAAAATGTCAGTAGGAGAAACGTAAGTGAATTATATAGTTGTGTGCCATCAAATCAGAACTCACTTGGCTGACCCTCCAGTGGGTTTTCAGAGATAGTGCATATAGGTATTTATATTATCTAGTGAGGTAGAGTGTGCTCTGGAATCTTTTATCTTAATGAATAAAAATAGGAAGAAAATACAGCTTCCAGAAAGGCCAACAGAAATTAATGGATGTGAGTGTTAAGGAGTTGTGTGGCCAAACTAAAGGAGCATGGTTTAAATGCACATAACAACAATGGAAGCATAATGGGCAGTTGTGGTTCTGTGGTAGTATTCTCACCTTCCATGTGGGAGACTCAAGTTTGAATCCCAATCAGTGTCTGTGTGCACATACAACCACCACCTGTCTGTCAGTGAAGGCAACTTAACTTATGGCAACAAACGGGAAGTCACTTATCTTGGTCATGCTTCAGTAATTGTAGAAATCTTTTCCAGGTCTTTGAGTTCTATTGGTTAGAATATTTGTACAAACATTTGATTATATATTTATTTCTTGTCCTTTTCTTCTTCTTATCCAGAATTTATCCTCTTGAACCATCTTTAAGTTTATATGTGTATGTATATATTTGTATTCTCCCCTTCCATATTTTTGAAGAATCTTCACAATATTTATTTACATTGTTGCTAAGTGCCATTGAGTTATAACTGACTCCTGGCTGACCCTCCAGCAGTTTTTTTTGAAGGCTGTAAATCGCTCAGGAGTAGATTGTGTAACTTACTGCCTGCCTTTGAGTTGGCAGCAAAGTTCTAGTGATTTTATAGGGATAGATTAGTTAAATTTATTTTATAAATAAGACTGATGATATTACATATTATTTTATCTCTTTTTTGTATGATAACTTGGTCACATTTTCCGCAGACCTTAAACTAATATCCTTTTACGTTTTTACTTTTGGCAGTTTCTTGTGTCAGGATTATCTTAGAATCATAGAAAAGGCCATTAAGGTCCCAAAAGAAGAAATGGCTTGTAGGTGATTAACATGTTGCCGCAAATGAGAGCAAATGTGTTTCTAAGCACGGTTGTTGTTGTTGTT